TCACATTACTTATTCACAGGTTACATAACCTAACTTTCAGAAGTCCTCATATTCAGATACCTAATCACAAAGGGAAAAAAAATGAAAAAGAAAACCGAACATCTAAGGATAATTTATCATTGATTTGCTTGATTGATCAAATCATGTACAATTCACTTAATGGTGGCGTCGTTTGGGAGTCCACTGAGGCGGTGATGGGCTAAAATGTGATGACATGACTCTTGAGTCAAGAAGTTCCTTGATTGGTGTAAAGCTAACACACCTTGGCACTTTGTATTGATTTATGGAGGCACCCCTTGAAATTGCATAGTCCATCAACTCTTCAAATGTGCCATTTTTAACCACACGTATTTCTAGTGGCCCGATGGAGTTGTCCGCCACTCGGCATTGGCGGTACACTGAGTTGAGCGACTCCTCCATTGCTAGACAACATTGGTTTAGCACATCGTTGCTTGGCGAGTTTACCAAGTCCTTTACGAGTAATTCCCAATAGATCACGTAATGACCAGGAATTGTTTTTGTGTCAGCATAACTCGTGTATTCCACAACGCTAGCATTGTGTTCACGTAGGAGTAGCGAAGCATTCTCGACTGCAGTTTGAAGTTCAGCCTCATCGGTTTTGTCTGAGTCAATGCTTAAAAGAACATTTTTACGTCTCACAAAATGGAATTGGGGTGCTGAGTTGTGGAAACCAGTGACTCTGAGGATGTCACCAACTTTGTAGCGATACAATCCAGCATAAGTCGTGATCACAAGTTCATATTCCTTACCGATTTCTACGTCCGCAAGATCAACAAGTTGGGGAGGAGAATCACGAGCGACTCCAACCGAGTTAGGTTCGTGTGGCAGGAACTCGAAATAGGCCATGTTAGGCATGATGGTGTAGGAAACTTCAGATGGCTTGCACATGGGGTTGAGATTGAGCCCAAAATAACACTCTGAAGATGCATACATGGTGCATGCTTTTGGCAATCCACCACTATAGTAATCAAGAGTTGGGATATATTGAGCCATTGCACCTGTAACAATAACATCAAGATATTTTGTGTTGGGCCAAATTCTAGTGATAATTCCCTCCCAATTTTCTTTAGCACACTCCTTGGCAATAAATTCCGCCAACTCCGGGTCAGGTCTCAAAACTCCAGTCATGCATTCCTGGATTGCCGGGTCGGTCACCTTCGGGTTAAGAGATCCAGTTAGTATGTCTTGAGCTAGTTGTGGCCAGTTGAGCTGGAGGAAGCGGATGGCCCGGAGGAGGCCAGACGCAAAAACTGCTCCGACCCGAAGGACTTGTTCACGCTCATAGAGACCGCATAGCATTTGTGTATACATGCTTTGGAAAGAATCAGCACATAGAATAGCTTCATTTGGGCTTGTGTAAACATTGTAAGGGTCATAGGGTCGGGTCTTGAAGTGATCACTCTTGTAATAGCTTGTGAGAACGGGTCGAGCCAGGAGCCCACCCGGAGTCTTCGTCTCGGATTTCACAAACAAGAAGTATAGCCCTTTGCCTTTGTCCAAACCCTTCACGTAACTGTTTCATGCAAAATCATGCACGGATCAGAAAATGCTTATTTCCATTACCAAAAAAGAGCTTTTCTTTCACTCCTCAAAAAAAAAAGAAAAAGAAAAAAAAAAGAATTGTTTTGTTCTAACTTTAATTTATAATTACTTACAGGTTCATAACAGGCATGAGAAGACTGTAAAGTTGCTGACGACGATCCAATTCTTCTTTGATTGTCGGCATAAGTTTTCTTTCACCGGCTGAAGTTCCAGAACTGCGATTAAAACAAAGTCAAAATTTGTATGATTATCCTTTAAGCACGTGCTTATAATTATTTTATAATGACTAAAATAAGTGTTTTTTACAAGCTGAATCAATTAATTACCTGGTGAGGAATTCAGAAACAGGGTTAGCAGATAAAATTGGAGATCTATCTCCATTAGCAATTCTTCGAATCAGAGGCTGGAGATCTTCATACGTAACTATTGGGATTTTGGATTTAAATGTTTCACGATCAACGGCTCCATCGAGATTAAAGCTTTTTATATATTCAGTGTGAGAATTTCTGCTCAGAATTTCTGCCAAAACTTGCTCCTGAACTGAATCAGCATATCGGGTCATTTCTTCAATGAATTGAAGCTTTTTTGCATCTTTCTCACACGCCGGAGGACCCAAAGGAGAAGACAAGATCGAATCAACAGCCATTTTAAAGAAAGAAATATATGTAAGATGTGCTTAAATTTTTCTAGAGAGAGAGAGAGACAGAGAGAGAGAATCTGTTGAGTTAAGAGAGAGAATAAAAGTTTTGGAGAAGATGGTGAGAAGTTTGAAGAAGAAGATTGACTTATATAGAAAGCGTGGAGGGTGCAGAGGGACGTCACATGCCAATATCATAGTGGGGTCCACTGGACAGAAAGAAAACTCCAACAGGGTAAAGTGGTGAAGGACAATTTTGTAAATAGATTTCAGCCTGGTCTTAAGTAGACAAGGTGGGGCCCAAACACGTCTGTATGACAGGAAGGCAAGGGACACGTGGGGCCATAAATCTCCTCGTCAGCATTTACAGGCTGTGTTGGCCTTGGCTGTGGAACACGCTGCCCTTTTCTGGTAAAAATGTTGGACCAGATAGCGATGGGCTGCGCCGCCTGAGCTGTTAAAGTTGACGTATAAACGTGGTTTGTAGCACTACGTAAATCAACACTTCGACCGAATTTTTTAATACATTGGATGGAACAAAAAAGTAAAATTAAAATCGAAATTGATTAATACTTGTTTTGGTGTTTTTTCAATGAGTTATGCTGCATGTACAAAGTTGGGTTACAAAGTTGATTAACAAAATAACATCTACACCAATTATTTTAAAAACAGATTTTTAAATCATTTGAAATCAACAGTCTGAATTTTGCCAACACATTTTGTAACTCAACTTTGTACAAATAGTTTTATTGTTTTTTAATGCCTATTTAGTATAGTAACTGTGTGACGAACATTTTTCAGGACCCATAAACAGTATTGTATCAGCAGATTCATCTAAAAGTTCTTGTAATCAGACAAATTATGTACATAAAAAAGTAACTACACGTACATAATGCGGTGTCCATAACGATATTCACACCCTCACATGGAAGAGGGCATACTTCGAATAAAATATAATATATTCGAAGTGTATCCCCTTCCATGTGAGGGAGTGGATACCATTGTGGACATCTCATTATGTACAAGTAACATATTCCATGTTTAAAATAATCTTCTCAGTGTAAGAAATTATTTTTTACTTTTTAATAATCATGTTAAGCTGGTCCTAATCAGAAGAACGGTAGAGATGGTAGGTTTATTGGTTGTGCTTTGTGCAGATAAATTTCTTATTTCCTATGAAGCATTGACCGGCGCAACTTTTTTTTTTCTGTATGAATAATAATTACTAGGGTAGGGTGCATTATAATAATGGGCAGCGTGGCTCACTGTTGAAATTTCATGGTCAGATCCAAGTAAAATGTAGTAATACATGGCAATCACATGGTTGCTTATTTCCTGCACGGTTCCTCGAATTTCTGTTGAACTTTCACTCAAATCTCAGGAGTAGATTGTCGTTGGAAAATGAATGTGTTAGTCGTACACAATTCATTGCTGCAAATATTCTCCCTAAAAAATTTTGAACACATTTCAAGTCGATGCTTTGAAAAAATGGCACAGCGTTGAGAGAAATTGAGGATCAATCTACTGATGTCTTCTTATTGTACGTGTATCTACTTACACGGACTTTCTTTTTCTTAGGGTATGTTTGGCAATGTTTTGGAGAGCAAAAATTGTTAAAAGTGCTTTTAGATAAATCTGACAAGAAATAACTTCCTCGTACAACTCTTGTACAAGAATAAAAGTGAAAACATATGACGTACGGGAAAGAAATGAGGAAAACATAAAAATAAAACAAAAGAATTAAGCAAGTTGTAGCTAATCATAAGTTTGGAATTTTTGTACTTATAATTATTTAATTTCATTAGAACAAAAAGGACCGTTACGTTTACGTACTTGCCTGCAAAAGTTAGAACTTAGAAGTATAAGAATTTGAAACTACTACCTGATTATGAATCTTTATTTTTAATTGCGCACGCAACGTGCACTGGTCACCAACTAATTAATTAATTTAATAACCGCCCTAATAATGCAACCGACCTGCGTAATTAATAGACGTTAATGCAAGCCCTTAATTTTAAATTTACAACATAGAATTAATTATGGTTTAGACCAAAACTAATTATGTATTAAACCCCCTTTCTAGGAAGTCAAAGGCAAATATGAAAAAATCTATATTTTTTAATCATTAATTTAATGTATTCTTAATTTATCCAAAAAAAAAAAAAGTGACTACATTTACTTATTTCTTAATTTGTTTGGTTAAGTTCTAATATAAACCTTTACTATCAAAAGTATGGTACAATTTGACACTCTCATGATACTACAAGCATGTTTGGCTAAATATAAAATGTTTATTTAAGTAAAAAAGTTTGATTGTAAAGATAAGAAAATTACTTATTTTGCAATACAATAAGGAAATTGTATATTTTGTAGTTTATAGTTAAAAAAAAAAAAAAAAGGAAAAATCATCTTAACATATTTTTAGTTTTAAAAATTTAGGAATAAGCCAACACACTACTAACCAATCTTAGTGTTTGTTTGGGATAGCTTAAAATTCGATAAAAAGTTGAGGTCAAATACAGCAGTTAATTTTAACCAATTTATGGGACCCACAACTTTTAAACGTTGATTTTTAACAACAACTGCTAAAAAATTATCAAAAGCTTTATCGAACAATCCCTTAATTTTTACCTTTTTAAGTGACTAGTGCTTTCATCAATTTCAGTATTTGTCACTTTATTTGGCATTTATTCTTTTTATAATTGGCATGTTTAACTTTTAAAAGTCGTGCAAAAAATGCATATTATATTTCTCAATTTATAGAAAGAAAAAAAGAGAGAGAGATTGGCGGCTAAATTTGAAAAACGTGCAAACATTGGAATGGTCAAAAATTAACACTAATGTCAAGGTAAACTCTACGACCTTCTCGTATCTTTCCTTCCACTACATTTTTATATTAGGAAAATATCTTTAATTCAAAGTGGAAATATGGTAATAACGTATCCCATCATGCAAGTTAAACTTTTTTTCTCTTCATTTCAAACACTTCAATTAGCTAAACAAATTCACAATCCATCCTCAATTTTGTCAAACTTCGATTGCTTATTTGATACGTAATGTTAATAGTATGATGTTAGATATTTTCGAAGAAGATAAATATCGCACCGGGTAATCTTGTTAATATAAATGTGAATTTGTATGGTATTAATTGTTGACAATCATGTCTAGAGATATCGAATGGGTCGAGTCACTCGTCAACTCGACTAGTTTGGGCTCGGTCCATGGTTACTCGAGCTCATATAGGGAAGCTGAGGATCAATTCAATCACAAAAAAAGTTACATGAACCAAGCCGACTCATTTAGGCTTGTGGACCGATAAGTGCATTTCTATGTACTTGTAGTGATTTTAATTCGAAATATATTTGGACCGGCACATTTTTTTGCTGTTTTTCGTCCATGAGTCAAATGATCAAGCCAAGCCTAGAATTTGAACACGAGCCAATCTCGAGTGTTTAAGAGTTGAACCGAGCATTGACACCTTTAATCTTGTCTAGTCTCGTTTAATACTAATCTAAATTTGCATAAGGCTAATTGTGGACCATCTTGTCTAAAATTTTAAATTGGTAAACACGATTAGACGCGACGACTTTAATATATTCAGTTTTTCCAACAAAAAATCTACCGAATAGACAATTTAAATTTGCTTTCAAAATATAGGAAATCAAACCTACTTTTTCAAACTTCCTTGGTTTTAATGGCTTAGGTTTTGAAGGAAAAGTGTTGCTTTAGAGCTTGACATCTCAACAACTATCCAAAGACCAAAAGGAAGAAATGGACGTGTAACGGGGCTTCTTCCTTTTTGCATGTTGAAGCAAATTTGGCTTTGGGACAACTAGTTTTAAGACCAAACTGCAAGTTGATCACGTTGGGTCAAATTATGTCACAATCACGTACAATAGGTGACCACTATATCTTCGATTGTTCCAAAACACACACGCACACACATATATATCCTAACAACTCTTTTGTGCCTCCTTGATTTCACAAGCACAACCATGTGATTTTCATTAATTACGATTAATGTTGTGATGTTTCTTTTTCCGTGTTGAATTTAACGAGGTTTGCACGTAGATTTGTTCAGTTTATATTTGGCTCATGTTTATCCCTACATTCTGAGGGACACGTGAGTACTATCTATTTATGCAGCACTCGTTTATATCTATGAATAATTTAAATTGTTTATAAATACTTTTTAAAAATGCTCTAATTTTATAATTTGGAGATGGTGTGTTAGTCTTTTGTATGAAATGTCAAAAGAATTGACAGCCTAGTAAAATTACGAAGCATGTAATCTTATTGGATGCAGAGTTCATAACCTTACTAACGTGTAATGACGCGAACCATCTAAATAAAAAGCAAATACTTATTTTTGCACGTAGATTTGTTCAGTTTATATTTGGCTCATGTTTATCCCTACATTCTGAGGGACACCTGAGTACTGTCTATTTATGCAGCACTCGTTTCTATCTATTTATAATTTAAATTGTTTATAAATACTTTTAAAAAATGCTCTAATTTTATAATTTGGAGATGGTGTGTTAAGTCTTTTGTATGAAATGTCAAAAGAATTGACAGCCTAGTAAAATTACGAAGCATGTAATCTTATTGGATGCAGAGTTCATAACCTTACTAACGTGTAATGACGCGAACCATCTAAATAAAAAGCAAATACTTATATTTCTTCTTATATTTTGCTTTTTGGAGATAGTAAAGACTAAGATCGACAATTCACACATATAAGAATTTAGGAGGAGAAGTCCCAAATACTTTCTATATACTTGTTGTGAAGAATTATATAGTTATGTTTGGTCCTCATTTTTTTTTCCTAACTCATTTCAAATCACACATTTCTTGTTATTTACAACTTTTCAGTCACGTATTTTATCAATTTTTATCGAGATTTATTAAAAAATTATTTTTTAGCAAAATCAAACAAGAACATAATACTAAAGTACAATATTGAAGAGAGAAAAATTAATTAAGTTCATATATTGCACCGTCCAATTCTA